TATAAGCCACTGGTCCAATTCGTTGAATGATCTGGAAAAGTCCATAAAAGCGACAAGCGAATTTGTGAAAAGTTCGCTTGAAGACGGAGTGCTGGCGATAAGGTTGCAATTTAAGGAAAACCTAATCACCCTCCTAAAACCCGACGTCATGCCGCTTGGAATTGGTCATTTGCTACATGCGATGGTTGGCATTCTGCAAATTAATTTTAAGTTTCTGTATCAAGGCATCTCGGTTAGTCAATTGAGTATCAACTTCATTCACAATGGAACCACCCGTATGATAAAGGGGAATAGAAGGTGATGGTCGTCTATAGAGTGTTTGAAATGGAGACATTTTAATAGATGAATGGTATGTAGTATTGTACCAGAATTTGGCCCAAGGTAATATAGAAGCCCAACTGCAAGGTTGTCGGTGGCAAAGACATCGAATATATTGTTCCAAACTTCTGTTAGTGACTTCGGTTTGACCATCTGTCCTTAGGTGATATGCTTAACTCATCTTGAACTTGGTACTAGACAGTTTAAAGAATTCTTGCCAAAAGTTACTAAGAAATATGGGATCACGATCACTAACAATTGACCGAGGCATGCCTTGTAATTTGACTATTGTGTTGATAAAAAGTTATGCAACAATCTTGTCAGTATATGGATGACTCAAAGTTGCAAAGTGCACGGATTTAGCGAGGCGGTCGACTAAAACAAAAATAACACTTTTACCATGAGAAGTAGGTAAACATTCAATGAAATCCATAGAAATATCTTCCAAACTTGATCGGGAATTGATAATGGTTGAAGTAGTACGAACGAAGTAAGGGCATCTGCCTTAGATTTCTGACAAACATCACAAGAAAAAACATACTCATGAATGGTCTTATGCATGGACGGCCAATAAAACTGTCGAGCAAGAGGTTTGAATGTGTGTTGAATACCCGAATGCCCTCCCATAGGTGAATCATGGAATTCTTGTAATAGTTGATTAATGATGTCAGTTCGAGGAGGAATTACTATCCGATTTTTGAAAAAAATCAATCCGTCTTTCTTTGCATATGGTTGATCAGGATTTTCCATAGCCAATTTGTCACCAAAGACTGGTGGATGTCGTCCCATAGTTATGTATACAGAATGGATAGAACATGAAGTGTAGGACCATCATCTCTTCTGGATAAAGCATCTGCAGTAGAATTCTCTTTTTCTAGTTTGTAGATAATCTCATAATCATAACCAAATAGTTTTGTAAGTCATTTCTGTTGTTCATGAGTTGTGATATGTTACTCAAGCAGATATTTTAAACTTATATGGTCCGTCTGTATATAAAATTTGTGACCAATGAGGTATGGCCTCCACATCTTAATTGCAACAATAACTGCCAACATTTCTTTTGTATAGTTAGACCAAGCTTGTTTGGAAATGCCTAAAGTTCTGCTCACGTATGCAGTTGGCTAATTATTTTGAGAAAGAACAGCCCCAATACCATCACTAGAAGCATCAGTCTAAATCACAAAAGGAATTTGAAAGTTAGGTAGTGTCAGAGTGGGAGTTGATGATAGAGCTTGTTTGAGCTTATTGAAAGCTTGTTTGGCTTCGTCAGACCATCCAAATTAGCCTTTCTTTAAGAGATTGGTCAAATGTCAAGCTATGATTCCATAATTGGGAACGAACTTTCTGTAATAACCAGTGAGTCCAAGAAATCCCCTAAGTTCCGTGATAGTAGTTGGATGGGGCTAAGACTCCATTGCCTGAATTTTTTGTTGATCTACTTTTACGCCTTGCGGTGTAATAATATGTCCCAGACACTAATTCTTGGTCACCAAATATACATTTCTTCAACTTGACAAAGAATTGATGTTGCTTGAGAATATTAAATGTCTGCTCAACATGTTCAAGATGCAAAACCCAACTGCTACTATAGATTAA